ATGTTTGACTATTGGTTCATGCTGAATTGACTGCAGCTAATGAGCTGTATACTCTCTCTTACCTTCCCTGGCTAGTTCGTAGATGACCTTGAGCTGTATTAGTTTTTTTTGCATTCTGTATTTATTAAAGATTTTACCAATGTTTACAACACAAGTATGCAAAATTTCACAAACAAAGACCAGTCCAATAAGTGTATGCCAAAGTGAACGTACACACTATGTAGATCTATGCCTTTTTTCAATATAATCATAAAGCTAAATACTTATGTTTACATTCTACAGTGGGGTCTGCAACCAGTAGATCGTGATCTACCAGTAGATCTCGGCCAGGTGACTGGTAGATCACGGTCAGGACTTCCTGACCTACCATCCCAGAGCATCAAACAGAGTGCAATGCAGAGGAACTTCTTGTAAAGTTGGAGCTGTAACAGGGAGCAAGAGCTGTATAAGTTGATATCTCCATTGTAGTGTCGGCTCCTATGCCTTGTCATGGCTGGTGAGTGTAGTACCTGCCAAGCATGACCCATTCAAGTGAATGAGGCCACTCTGCAAGTGTCCTGTAACCTTGTGCTATACAGCAAACAAGGGGTTAAACAGGCAGTGGTTTGTTACTTTCTCACCACCTGCTTTAACCCCTTGGACCCTGCAGAAGCATGCAGTTGCAGGGCACTTGCAGAGTGCCCCATTTATTTGAATGGGTCTTTATTGACAGGCAGTAGCACCCACCAAAAGTAACGGGGAGTAATTCGTGCTGCAGCATGTTTACACCTGTTGGCTGCTGCCTCAGCAGCTAAAGGGGGTAGGGATTGAGGGTGGTAAAACCGTGACTCCAACCGCAAGGTTTTACCACAGCCCAACTTTACATGTGAACGAGCCATAAGGGTGCTGCTTTGTTTGATGCAACTAAGTGCTCATTCACAAGTGCATCAGGCACTGCTGCTCCTCTGTAATGCAATCCAAGTATGTTTGACAGGTTGTGAGGAGGCAATATGTTGCCTCCTCACCACCTGATTTAAACCCACGATTGCTGTGCAATGCACGCAATTGTGACACGGTAGTATGGCAACTAGAGGTTTAAATCAGGTGTGAGGAGACAACACTGTGCTCAGTGATCTTTGGCTTCTCCCATGTTGTTCGGGTAGCTCTCCACCTCTTTAAAGCGGAGCTCCACCCAGAAGGGGAAGTTCCGCTTTAAAGACTGGTCCCTCGCTCCCCATTAAGGATTGGCTCCTTTGGGGAGTGTGGGGGAAGCGAGTACCTGAAATTGACAGGTACTCGCTCTTACTTCCGCTGCGATCCCCTAGGCGATCGGAAGCGGAAGTTGTCCTCCCCTCTTCCCTCCCTGTAGTCTTCTGGGACACGTGACAGGTCCCAGAAAACTACGGGACCAGAAAAGCGTAGCGATACTTGTGCATACGCAGTGGACACCTGGCTGTGAAGCTGCAAGCTGTCACAACCGGGTTCCCACATTGAAGATGCTGACACCAGGAACACAGGACGGCCGGTGAAACGGGCTGCAGGACGGACACCGTGGGATCAAAGGACAGGTAAGTGTCTGTTTTTTTTTAAAAGTTTGCAACTGCTGATTTTTTTTTACAGTTTCACTGGAACTCCGCTTTAAGGTTGCCTACCCCTGTTCTACAGAATCAACCAAGAGAACAATTTTTCAATTTTAAAATTCTAAGGGTGTATTTATAAAACAAAGTTGGTTATTAGTCTTGAAAAACTGCATGTACAGTAGCTTAGGCTAATATTAGGCTATGTTCTTTCCAGGTCTAATATTCTTTATTCATACAGAATAGAGTGAATCAGGAAAATGCTGCAATATGGTCATTAGATGGAGCTGAAGATCATAGTAAATAACTATGTATTTCCTATGATCATCAGCAACTTCTAGCAGCCATTTATACAGTATTTACCTGAATCACACTACTGTTGGTTAATGAATAATATTTGACCAGCAAAAAATATAGCTTAATAGATTTCGATTTTGCCCCCATTCACACAGAACAAATGTACATGCAATTTCAAATGACAACTATCTCAGCAAATTTTTGATAAATACACCCCATTGTCTGTTCTGGACAGTGAGTTACGGTTTGTGATAAGACCCTTGTCTTTGGAAATCTGACTTCTCATAGATCAGTGATCCTTAAACTGCAGCCCGGGGGCCAGATGCAGCCGTTTTCTTGCTTTTATCCGGCCCTTGGGGCACTCTTTTCATTAACTGATACCAACAATGGGGCATAATTCCTCCACTGACATCAAAGGGGTAGCATTCCTCCCAATGATACCCACGATAGGGCACAATTGCTGCCAATGACACCAGTAATAGGGCCCAATGATACCGATGGGGACAATTCATCCCAAAGATACCAACAGTGGGGACCAATGATAAAGCAGAATTCCTCCCAATGACACCAACAATGGGGCACAGTTGCTCCCAATGACTCCAGTAATAGGGCCCAATGACACCAATGGAGCACAATTCCTCTCAGAGACACCAATGATTGGGCACAATTCCTCCCACTGAAACCAAAGATGGGGCATTGTTTACTCCAGCTGATGTAAGGACCTTTTCTACTCCCAATGTCCACAGTCCAGCCCCCCCCCCCCGTAAGTCTGAAGGACAGTAAACCGGTCTTTTGTTTTGAAAGTTTGGAAACCCCTGTCATAGATCATTTCAACCCAACACAATAATTCATTGCAAAAAAACAAAATCTAAAATGTTTTAGGCCGTAGGCACATAGGCATTTTTTATTGAAGGCATATCTATTTCAGTCAAAGGGGGTTATTTACTAAAACTGGGGAGTGCAAAATCTGGTGCAACTTTGCATAAAAACCAATCAGCTTCCAGGATTTATTGCAAAAACTTAACTGTACCAGCTGAAGTTAGATTCTGAGTGCACTAGATTTAGAAACTCTCCACCAAAGTGTTCATGTACATTGTGGTGTTTAGGTTTGTATTTTAGAGCAGCATTCAGGGGCATAAAAATTGTCCAAATCTGTATTTAGAGAGGAGCTTACTGGCATAATTTATATACATACACACATAAACGTGTAAATTAATTCCAGTGGCCAGAATAAATGAATATTCTGATCTATACAGCAAGTTTCTATACATACATTTCCAAATGTCATATGCCTATAAAAGTCTGTAAATTAGGGGTAATTAAATACATCCATGTTCATGAAGCCTTAGAAGTGAGTTTACATCCCCAGAAAATGTATCCAAGGCCTGGGTCCAATAGGTGCTTAAAGATGCATACCAAGAGCTTGCTTTTAGATTATTAGATGTGAAGACTGCTACCTGTTGCAGAAACACAAAGTTAGCTTGGGGTGAATAGTGTGTCCCTAACTGAACAAAGTGTCATGCTTATTTCAGTATAGACAAACTGAAATTTTAAATGTTGGAACGTCCCATTAATTGCACTGCTTTGTGTGTATTTCGCTTTCATCTTGAAAATGGCCCATTTTGCCTAGGGGTTCTGTAAGTACTGACATTTGCCAGATGTGGGGTGGACCTTTTAATCATGGATATTAATTGTGCCCTCTTTATGGTTGCCATGATTAGTTATATGCTACATGTAGCCTATACTGGCTATTCTGCTTACCAGTATTAAGAGATAAAAGACTCTGTAGTGTAAAGCATAATGCCACTGATTTATTAAGAGTGCATCTTGTTATTAAAATACTGTGTTTACATTATGAATTCATAGACCAAACTTTTATCGCCCAGTATAGCACTTAGGTACCCACAATGAATAACTGAAACTATGAATTTACCAATAATGTACAATTGGATGAGGAAAATATTTTGCTCCATGATCTACCCTCTGTACAGTTAAGTAATGTGAAGATTCTAATATTGATCAAGGATTGACATACATTTTGTGGTAACTACTGCCATCTACTGGTACATTATAATATGGTGCACATAGTTGTATGAACAATAGTAGACAAGGCTGATAAAGTAGAGAAAATTTTTTAATAAGAATAGAATAGTACACAAACTTTCTCATTTGGATCACAAATCGAGAACACTTTCCCATGATGGCTAGGGCCTGTCATCAGGTCAAACATTCCTAGGAAATTAATTCATATTTAAGACCCGATAACTGGCAAATTAAGAAAATATGAATTCTAAAAAATGATTATAGGCAAACTAACGGTCTTCAGTTTGATTTGCAGAAGTTGGAATAGCTTTTCTTTTCAATATAGCACAAAAATTGCCACAACCTCAAAATTCTCTGTGCTCAATAAATAATACAAAACATTTGTAATATACTTCCCTTACCACCATTCAACATGTGCTAACATGTCACACAATGTATGCACAGTGTGCAATATTATATGCAATATATTGTATTTGTGCACTGAAGAAGTCTTTCAACAAATGCCTGTAACAAAAATGTTGTTTTAATGCTTCTTTTCTTTCCCACATGGTATCATCACCACTGTGAATCCACTCCAAATCACTCATGTTTCCCCACCACATACACATATACTTTAAGGTGCTATGCCATCATAGAGGAATTTAAAGTAAAAACTGGAACCTTTAAAAAAAAATAAAAAATGGATGAATTTACAGACTTTTGGAGAAACTTTAAAAAAAAATTATTTGTAACTAAATCCAGAAATTGTGCCTAAAAAGTGCATCAAATATCAAAGATACATAATTGACTTTAACCACTTGCCCTCCTAGGGATTTAACCCCTTCCTGACCAGGCCATTTTTTGTGTTATGGTGCTGTTACTTTAACTGACAAATGTGCGGTCATGCAATGCTGCACCCAAATTAAATTTACATCGTTTTTTCCCCACAAATGGAGCTTTCTTTCGGTGGTATTTGATCGCCTGTGCATTATTACATGTCATAAATTTAGGCCAAAATGTATTATTTGACATGTCTTTGCTAAAAAAAAATCCCAATAAGTGTAAATTAATTGCATTACTTGAAAGTTATAGCGTTTACAAATGGCGGTATATATACTGGGATTTTTTTTAAATTTTACTAGTAATGGCGGCGATCAGCGACTTATAGCGGGACTGCATCGGGCATTCTGACACTGGGGGGAACTGACTTAGTGTCACTGACATCCCCAGTGACACCAATACAGTGATCAGTGCTAATAAAAAGCACTGACACTGTACTAATGACACTGGGCAGGAAGGGGTTAACATGAGGGGCGATTAAAGGGTTAACTGTACTGTTTTATATAGTGCTGTGTCCCTGTGCTTCACTGTAAGCACACTGCTTTTCATGGTTGTGCTCTGCACAGCCATCCAAAGCAGCGCACCAGCTGACGGGGGAGAACTATTTTGTTTATAAACAGTTCTCCTCCCCTCAGAGATGTTCATCAATCACCGAGCGTCGGAAAGTAATCACCGGCCGGGACCCGGTGATTGACAGCTGCGGCCGTGAATGGTGGCGTGGGTAGGGCGCGCACACCCTCTTGTGTACCTCCTACCCGGAAATGCAAAATCATGTATATATATATGTGATTTTGCGCACCCGTGCTGCCCTGTAGCTGTATATAAGGATAAAGGAAAAGAAATTGGAGACTCTGCAGCCTCATCCCCTATGAGTAAACGTTCGGGAACACAATATAATCCTAATATGTTTCCAATAAAATTAACTATAAAACAGAAAAATAAACTTTACCCAAAAAATAGGGATTAAAATGGGAATTGTAGTAACAAGGGTAGTTTCTCCATACCCATATATAACAAGTTTGAGCCTTTGATGAATCAGAATTTCATAGACCTTACAAGTTGGGTAATTGGAGGGGAGAAAGAGGATATCAATGAACAGGAAATAAGTATTAGCCAAGGGATGGAACAATATCAAAGAATTGCAAATGATTGGCAAACAGTGGAAGGCAGGGGAAATAGTTTTTAATAAAATGACAATCAGAATTTTAAATAAATCCAAACCCTGGTTTTGAAATTCTAAAAATTACACTTAGAAGGATTAAAGAGGGGGATTTTTGGGTGAAAGAGCAGAAAAAGAGGATTTAGAGGATGAAAGAAATTCTAAAACACGTGGAAATCTCCAACTATTAATCTTGCACTGGCCAAACACAAAATATCCTCTATTATGCTCCAAGAAAAATTGACAAGTATCCTATGAGATAAACTAGTTTTAGAAAAATTCTGAAACACCTGGACAAGATATTTTCAATCTTCTGTGTGACTTGTGGTGCCCTGGGGGTTGGGTGGCAGGGTCGGGGAGGATCTACTCTTTTCTTCTTTTGACCTTTCTCTTTTCTTCTTTCCCTTTCTTCTGTTTTCTTTTACCTTTTCTAGTGTTACATTGGGTGCAGGTTCTCAGGCCCTTATACGCTTAGGCCAACTTGACTTATATATGAAGTCATGGTTCCCCAACTTCTGGCAATCAGAATTTTGTATTGAATTACTGTATTTTACCTTTACCCTCCCTATAGGGTGAAAGATGTATTGTAGACATACCGTTTGTTACCATGACAATATGACATTACTTTGTATTATGTTCTTGGGCAGTTTTAGTCTTTGATCTCTATTTTTGATGATAGTTGCTTCTTTTGCTCAGTTTTGTAATGTTGCGGATCTCTATATACATATTGTCCACAACTTGTTTGATCTGGATTTGCTTTGTTTATGGTACTGTTCATGACTGCATTGTTGTACTGATATTCATACATGTACATCTGTACTATGTTTGAAACCCTTTTAATAAAAATATTGGAAAGAAAAATAGTACTCATCCTGATGCAGAGTACACAGCACTCTCATACCTCGAAATGGGTTTTCCCAATGTATTTGCCCAATATCCCACAATTGATTTATTACCAAAAGTCTGGAAATCTTTGAAGCAGCACCTTTTTTCAGCAGCATTTTTCAGCTTTATAGTGGTAATGTGCTTCAAATCCTTTGCTATGCTCCAGACAGAATTTTAACTTCCTCACTAAATACATTTATCATTACCTGCAATTGTGCCATGTGCTCCTAAATCAGGCTATATGCTCCGATCTACAACTGGTGGAATCTCCGTTTATCACATCTCTATTGGCTGAATCAAATAGAAAAGGTATAATCTTTCATCTTTATTATGATCTCTTATCATTGCTACAGGATTCTACACTTTCTTTATTGTACATCATGGGAGACAGGGCTATTCATGTGGGTTATATGCCACCTATAGGTGAATGGACACTGGCCAACCAGGCAGAGAGGAGTCCTCCCCTATATAACCCCTCTTACACAGAAAATACCTCAGTTTTTTTCACCAGTGTCTGTAAGGTGGATGGTCACTAAAAGTGTTGCTTGTGCTTCTGGAGCATACATGAAGGTCCAGAATGGTTCCATTAGAGAATCAGGGACTTTAATTGGATATATTTGGAAAGCTGTTTGCCAAAATGGATGGTACCCAAGCCTCATTGGATAAAGAGAAGAATCCTTTGGGGTCTTAACTGTATTGCGGCCATTGGCGTGGACCCTGTGTAAATGGAGCCCTGTACAGTATTGAGTCTGACCAAGGCGTTTTCCAGTAGGGTGCTGTACAGACCTGAGGCAGTGGCCCCACAGTATGGGGACCAAGCCCTTGAAGGTCTAAATGACAGTGCCCGCATTGATTGAAGATTGGACTCATAGTGTAAGGCCTGCGGCGGGAATGGTAAATGCCTCCTCTGTTTTTCTTTTAAAGAAGGAAAAGAAAAATGGAGGGAAAACAAAGGTACTGTGCTCCATTGTCCTTAAACCTGCCTGGTCTTCTTTTTGTTGCCTCTAGGGGGAGCAGCCTGATGGAGAGACAGTCAGCTGGGGTGGGGGTGCGCACATGCGCAGTAACGCTCGGAAGGGGAAATCAGCCATATTTATGTATCCAGCATTCCTGTGCACATGTGGGGATGTTGCAGCTGGAGGTGGTCGGGACACAGAGCAGACTAATAAATGGGCACGTGAGTACTCCCCTGGAGGTGGAAAACATTGGCCAGTTCTGACAGGAAGCTGTATTTTCTGACAGTCCGTGGAAATCAATAGTTACAGTGAGTGTTTTTGGTCACACTATTTGACATAGCTGTATCATGGAATCTCTGAGAGACCAGGTCTACAGTTATCCTTCAATTCGCCTCTGCATGAGATTGCTGGGGAAGATGATGTCCTCATTCGAGGCAGTACCCTATGCACAATTCCACTTCGGGCCACTGCAAAAGATCATTCTGTCTGTTTGGAACAAGAAGGTTCCAACCCTGGATTTCTGTAGGTCTCTGTCTCCCGAGGTACTACAGTGCCTGAATTGATGATTGGTGACTCAGAATTTGGAGAAAGGGAGATCCTTTCAGTCAGTGGTGTGGAAGTTGGTTACCATTGATGACAGCCTCTCGGAATGGGGTGCTGTCCTGAAGGAGGCCATTGTTCAGGGAACATGGCTTCCAAGACAAAGGGTTATAGCTATCAATGTTCTGGAACTTCGGGCAGTGAGGTATTGCACATTCAGGCTTCGGGACTGGCCAGTAAGGATTCAGTCAGACAATGCCACAGCAGTGGCATACACCAATCACCAGAGCAGTACCAGGAGCTGGAGGGCTCAAGAGGAGGTGAATTACATTCTGACTCGGGCAGAAAGTTATGTGCCAAGTATGTCAGCAGTGTTCATTCCAGGCATAGAGAATTAGCAGGCAAATTCTCATTCCGGGGGAATGAGCTCTGCATCCCGAGGTTTTCTCGACAATCTGCCAGCAATGGGGTTGCCCAGATGAAGTTCTGTTGGCATCCAAGTTCAACAACAAAGTCAACTTGTTTGTATCCAGAATGAAGGACCCTCGTGCGGCATGGGTGGATGCTTTAGTGATTCCTTGGAGTCAGTTTTCCCTAATCTATGCTTTTCCTTTGGTTCAGCTGTTGCCATGTCTCCTACTCAGGATTTGGGAGGAGTCTGTTCAGTGATTCTTAGGGCCTGGTACTTGGACATAGTGAGACTGGCAGTGGACAGGCCTTGGTCCCTGCCCTTCAGGCAAGATCGGAAGTCTCAAGGTCCTATATTGCACCCAGCTTTACAGTTGCTAAATTTGATGGCATGGCTTTTGAAACCCAAATCTGAAAGGATAGCAGGGGTATCAGATTTTACCATTCCCATTATGTTGGGTGCTAGAAAGATCGTTTCTAGGAACATTTATTATAGATCTTGGATAGCTTACTTCCCCTGGTGTGAGGTCCAGCAATGGCATCCATGGAAATATGTGATTGGTAGGATCCTGTCATTTAATCAGTCAGGTCTGGAAGAGAAATTTACCATTGGTACTATTAAATGCCAGGTTTCAACATTGGCTATTTTTTCCAGAGGCCTATTGCATCTTTTTCTCTAGTTCATACTTTTTTGCAAGGATTAATGCATTTGTCTCGGCCTGTTAGGATGCTTTTATGTCTGTGGGTCTTAGAGGTTTTGCAGAGACCACCATTTGAGCCTATTAGGGAGATTCTGCTAGTCCTGTTGACCCTGAAGGTTTTATTCCTAGTGGATATCACTTCTGCAAGAAAGGTGTTGGAGCTGTCAGCTGTCTCTTGTAAAGAACCTTTTCTGATTTTGCATCAGGATAGGATGGTGTTGCGACCTCATTCATCTGTTTTACCAACGGTGGTTTCTAGTTTTCATCTCAATCAGGACGTTGTTCTGCCTTAATTTTTTCTCAGGCAAAAGTTGACAATAGAGAGATCTTTACATACTTTGGATGTGGTACGCGCTATAATGGTCTTCCTGAAGTTGACAGCACAGGTCAGGAAGTCAGATGCTCTTTTTGTACTGCCTGACGGCCCCAGGAATGGGCAAGCTGAGTCCAAAGTGACTGTTTCGCATTGGATCTACCAGTTGATCATTCAAGCCTATGGTTTGAAAGGTAAGGTTCCACTCTTTCAGAGAAGAGTACACTCTACCAGGAGTGTGGGGACATCTTGGGCGATCCACCATCAGGTGTCAATTGGTCAGATTTGCAAGGCCGCTATGTGGGCTTTGGTTCACACGTTCACAAGGTTCTACCAGGTGGTTGTTAGAGCCGCAGAGCACTCTGTTTTTGGTCACAGTGTCTTGCGAATGGCTGAGTAGGTTTTTTGTGGGATTGTTGGCAGAGGCTATCATGGTGTTACCCTCCACTCAAAATGTCTTTATTGCTTTTGGACATCCCACATAGTCATGAATAGCCTGCTCTGTGTCCCATGATGTTCAATAAAGAAAATTGGATTTTTTTTCTACATACTTACCTGTAAAATCCATTTCTTGGAGTACATCATGGGACACCGAGGTCCCTCCCCTCTTTCTGGAATTTCATTGCTTGCTACAAAACTGAGGTACTTCATGTGTAGGAGGAGTTATAAAGGGTAGGACTCCTCTCTGATTGGTTGGCCAGTGTCCATTCACCTATAGGTGGCATATCACACACATAGTAATGAATAGCCTGCTCTGTGTCCCATGATGTACTCCAAGAAATGGATTTTACAGGTCAGTATGTAGAAAAAA